ATGTGCTTTAGTCTACATAATGTTCAACTCAACCATGTCAACTTTAATTTACACCAAAGGACTTCAGAAGCTTCTGGAAAGGGGATGTGTCTCATAATGTTATTATAAGTATTAAGGGTAAAAAAAGAGATGAAGGAATTAAATTAGAGCACGGATAATCAAACTTTATTTTATTTTATTCCACAAAACCAAAGCCCCAAGGAAATCCCTTGATTTATAACCTCTCAAGTTAATACATAAATCTGGGCTCTATATAATAACTGAAGCTTACCATTACCATTCTCTATGTAACATTAACTAGGAAGATAAAAACCAAATAGTCCAAGCAGATAAACTCCAAGATTGCATCTCCAGATAGTAAAGACTGAAAAAGTCTCCAGATTCTCAGGTTAATCTTGCCTTGTCATCTAGTTACTTCATGCTGATTCATACTGAGAAACCTCATCTATCGGGCCTCCTCTCACCTTTTCCAATCAAAGCTATTTTCAACATTATTCTTTTTGACAGTAGGAAAATGTAGAGATGCTTGTGCCCCAACTTAAAATATAGCCCAAGGAATAGTTGAAGTATAAGCACTGACTCTTTTTTTTTTTAATATTTTTATTTATTTTTATGAGACAGAGAGAGAGACAGCGTGAGCAGGGGAGGGTCAGAGAGAGAGGGAGACACAGACTCTGAAATAGGCTCCAGGCTCCGAGCTGGCAGTCAGCACAGAGCCCGACGCGGGGCTCGAACCCACGAACCGCTAGATCATGACCTAAGCGAAAGTCGGACGCTCAACCGACTAAGCCACCCAGGCACCCCAAGCACTGACTCTTAAAAAGAAAGGGAAAGGAAAGGAAAGGAAAGGAAAGGAAAAAGGAAAGGAAAAAGGAAAGGAAAAAGGAAAGGAAAAAGGAAAGGAAAAAGGAAAGGAAAGGAAAGGAAAGGAAAGATCACACCGCACAAAGAGAAAGTACAATAACTCCAAAAAAGAAAAGTAAAAGATGGGAGTAAAGTACTCCAGGGATCTCTCTGGCCCAGGGAAATAAATCTCTCAAAAAGATGCTAAAATATAGAAAGGAACAGAAAATAAAATCTAATGAATGAGTCCAAGAAAACATTTATAATCAATTCATTGGTCATCCATAATTCATAATTAAGGTAATATCAACATTTTGTGCTTGTTTAAAGAAATGGATGGAAAATAAAATACATTAGGAGAAAGCCTAAATAGATAAGGCAAGGAGCAATCTGTCAATCTTCGGCATCCAGGAAGCCAAAGGGTTAATGCCCTTCTGAATTTTAAAAGTATAGTAAAACACATAATTTTTTTTTTAAAGCATCACTATCTTTTTTTTTTTTTATGTTTTTTATTTATTTCTAGGAGAGAGAGACAGCGCGAGCAGGGGAGGGTCAGAGAGAGAGGGAGTCACAGACTGAAACAGGCTCCAGGCTCTGAGCCGGCAGTCAGCACAGAGCCCGATGCGGGGCTCGAACCCACGAACCGCGAGATCATGACCTAAGCGAAAGTCGGACGCTTAACCGACTAAGCCACCCAGGCACCCCTAAAACACATAATTTTAATTGCCTGGATTCTGAGGCCAAAACTTTGGGCATGCTTCCTTGTTCAAAACAACAACAGTACCAACAAGTATTTATTGAGCATTTGCCATGGGTCAGATACTGTCGTGAGCAATGGAGAGAATACAGCACTGAAGGTGACAGACGAAGCTCTGTCCTTACAGAGCTTCTGTGCTGTCAGAAAGAGGAATGATAAATATGGTTAGACCAGGGAACAAAGCATGACTAATTCTCTGGTACGAAGAATCCTGCCTTATAAGGCAGAATCTTTCTTGCTGAATTGCAATTTTACAGAGAGACCTGAATCTTTTCAAGTAAGAGAAACTTGAATGGGTTTAATAGGTTTGGAGGCCTTTAAGGGGTAGGATTGGAGAGAAAAGGCAAATCCTCTCAAGTCAGAGAAGAGTTGATGTTCTGACTCTTTGAACCCTGCCCATCCTAATTCACAACAATTCATCTGTGACTTTGGTACAGAACTTGGTTAATACAACAAATTTCTAGAAAGCTCTGCCACATTTGGAAGCAAAATGGGAAGTAAACAAAATCTGTCTTTGCTATGCTTCTCCATCTCCTTCATTTGCTATGTTTTCTTGTATTCTTGTCCTTTTTTTCTCCTTTTTTTCTATCAATGTTTTCATTTATGATACTATTTTCTCAGGTCCCATTCTTTTTTTTTTTTTAATATTTCTATTTATTTCTAGGATAGAGAGAGCGTGAACAGGGGAGGGTCAGAGAGAGAGGGAGACACAGACTCTGAAACAGGCTCCAGGCTCTGAGCTGGCAGTCAGCACAGAGCCTGACGCAGGGCTCGAACCCACAAACCGCGAGATCATGACCTAAGCGAAAGTCGGACGCTTAACCGACTAAGCCACCCAGGCGCCCCTCTCAGGTCCCATTCTTTATATCCCTTCATAGAGCCAGGTGGGAGGCAGGGTGGGGCGAATTAAATGAAGAGTCCTAGGTACATAGTGTATGTAAAAACCAAATACAGTTTAATTTCCCTCACTTGATCCCTCTTATCATATCCTTATAAGTCCCTTTCCCTCTTTTTCCATTACTCTTTGGTTCCTGACTTTCTTTCTACTCTATCATTCTGTTTCTCCTTCCCTCCAATTCCCCTTCCATCTTTTCTGGGTAGAAAAAAAATGATCACTGACAGGGAGAGGTAGAATTGTGTAATAAAAAAGGATTGACAGTCTGATATGTATGCAGTTAAGTTTTGTCCCTTTGAGTTTAAAACACTGACTTATGTGAATAAATTTCACTAGAACCATGGTTACTAGACATAACACTGAGAAGACTGTGAAGATAAAGTTTTATGAATTTTCTTAGCTGTCTAAAGATATTCTTTCAAAAATCCTTTTCTGTTTTTGTATACACTGAACACTAGGCATGAGAGAATGAGAGGCAGAGAGAGAACTGGCTCTGTTTTGCCTCTCACCAGGTACCCACTCAAAGGTCTCTTTATCCCCTCAGTCTGGCATCCCTAAATTTTCCTCATATTGCATATCTAGACCTCTTCACTTTCCTACCTCAGCCTGGCTCCCTGCAGGGATACAGGGAATAAGACCTGGGAAACACCCAGGTTGGGAGTTCGGCTGATTTAGATTTGAAGCCCAGCTTTATGTCTTATTAGCCCAGTGACCTTAGGCAAGTTACTTAACTCTAAACAGTTTTCTCACCTTAAAATGGTGCTCATATAACCACTCCCATTATGTTGTTATCAACATTCATTACCTAGTCCATAAAGGTATTAATCATCATGTGTGGCACATAATTGTCATTTAATAAAGAGTAAATATGATTTATATATACATAAGTATATATATATTTACACCCCATGTCCCCATCTGTTCCTCATACACACACGCAATTCACTTATCTGTCCTCAAAACCATCCTGTGAGAGTTCTGCCCTCCTGCCCTTGAAGCATCAGCATTTTTCCAAGTTCACAATTAGCTAATGTAAGAATCTAATCAATGAAAATGTGCTAATAAGAAAGGATAAGAGAAGAGGACAGTGAGTACTGCCTGCCAACTCAAATATCCCTCAGTGGTAAAATATGGCTCTTGGAAAACAAAACTGTACTAAAAACTGCACAGGCCAGAGCAGTGACTTATGGTGTGAATTTTAAGTAGCATCATGTAGAAGAGTCCTGTAGTAGCTCTCTGTTACTGTGACTGCTTCTGTACATGTGCTAATATGTAAGTCCTCACTAATTTTAAAATAAGTAAATAAAACTTCAGTGGACATTGTGTCCTTCTTCATATAAATTAAAATATATGCAGAGATACTCCATTTACCCCAGAACATTCTACAAAACAGATATAACTTCACAGGAAAATAGGGCAATGGGAATGCTAAATGTCCATGTAATGTCAGTGATAGAGCAAAACCTAGAACACAATTCTCTTTTCAAGTCAATATTTGTAGATCATACCATGGTGACTCCATAAGGCGTAACTAAAAACAGAAGCCTAGTTTTGAAAACTCCATTCAAAAGATCCAAAATCTGTGAATTAGGCAATGGCAAGAGAGTCACACCTTTTGCCACACTAACAGGAAAGATTCTTAAGTAATGGACTCGGTGCCTGCCCATGCGAGTCAGCCACTTAGTCATTTTTCTAGACGCTATCCATCACTGAGCACATTCCTGAATTTCATGCAACCGAATTTAAACATCTATCTGGCTGTTCTGATGGGAATAAACATTCAATCAAAGTAAAAGCTTGACAACTCTGACACCTAGTGGCTGGGAATAAACTGGTGAAGATCAGTGTGAGAAAATTAGTTATCTAATTACTGTGGCAGTATCTTGCAAACACACAGAATTTAGTGACAACTAATACATTTTCTAAAATACTAACTCTACAAGTAATCGTCTAAAAATCTATTTTGGCTCTGTATTTATTTGGAGCTCTATAAAAAGAGGCTAAAAGACTTGCATTTGTAAAGTGTATTTCCTGTTCAAACTTACACAGCAAAATTTCACTGATCTTCAGAGATCAAACAAGAAAGCTAAAGGTTGATTCATACTTTGGCATATTCATGATCCTTTCCCTTAATTTTTTATGTACATCTACATCCTCCTCAAATATCCCCCTATCAAATATAAAAGACATCTGGCCAAGCCATCACAGAGGTTTCCTTTATGCCATTGAGGCATCCTGAATCAAAAGGTAGCTATATCTTCACAAACCAGCAAGATCTTTCTTTAAGAGAGGTATATGGACACATGTGGAAACTCCCAACTGCACATCTAAAAGCAAGGACCACAATGAATCTGTATGAATATGGCAGGTCAGCACAGCACAGCACAACCATTTCTGCCCTAAACATTAGAAGGTAAGTTTCCCAGATCCACTTAAAACTGACAGGCAGGATGGTAGGAAGCTCAAGTGTTCATCTCCTCCACCAAGGAAAGTTCTGACTCCTACCTGCTGACGTTTGAAGGCTAAATAATCCAGATTTTCCAGCTCCTTCCCAAGCTTCTGGTAGGTTTTCTGAAGGTCAGATTTATTGGAAACATTTTTAAGAGACTCAAATGTTCTTTGAAACTGAAATTGAAAACAAAAGTAAGTTATTAGGATAGCAGCACATTTTCCTCAAATGCCTAACTAGCTAAAACAGGGAAACAGTCAATACTGAGCCTCAGTTTCCTTCATTCATAATACAAAGATAACAAATGGTAATTCCCTTTCAAAAAAATTTATGAAAGACTGATTATAAAGGATTAGAAACTGTATCATTAAGTACAACCAACATTATTGCCTGAATGGGAAGCGTGTTTAGTCCTCATTCTAACAAAAGAACATACTGCATTTTTAAAAAAATGGGTGCCTGGGTGGCTCAGTCAGTTAAGTGACTGACTGTTGATACCAGCTCAGGTCTTAATCTCAGGGTCATGAGCTCAAGCCCACATTAGGCTCCGTGCTGGGCATGAAGGCTACTTGAAAAAAGCAAACAAACCTGTCCTAGCATACACCACTACTTCTAAAGAAAAAAAATGCAATGAATATATGATTTTAAATCATAATGAGGAAGTATTAAAAGGGCTCTCACATTCCAATCATGGAAACAAATTCATGTAAAGGTAGCCACTTGCCTCTACAGAAATATCTATGCAAAATAGGTACCCTGCAAACTTCAGCCAGGAAGATCTCTCAGATCTTATATTTTGAGAAGGAAAGAAAACATTTTGGCGATCAAAGCATATGTAGCATGTTCAGCAAACATTTATTCATTTCTGCTCTATAACGCAGATGAGTTATAAAATCAGTTCTGCTGAATCAGAATACTTCTGTTCATTTTTGAGTCAGATACCAGATAAACACAAAGGAGACAAATTGCAGTGGATCACAGAATATTGTTCTGCTGCTAATAATTAATTAAGCAAAGGGAGCTCACAAGAAATTCAATTCTTGATTTATTCTAGTAAATTAGAACATACTTTGGAAGATTAGTGATTTAAAATGTCAAGTAATGTCATTTCCAATGACATTTACATTTGCTCTCTCTTCATGTCATTCATTTCCCATATTCTCGCTGTGTGTCTTTTGATAGATTCCTAGAGATAGAGACTTCACCATCTTAAATACACCAGAATTCCACTGTGTATTTATTCCACTGTCTCATATGATGCTATGAGACAGGCTAATAAGATTTTATAGAGTATTATTAAGTTTCCAGAGAAATTATTCGACCCTTACTATTCAAACTCTATGGAGTAAGTCATATTATAGCAGCATTCTACTGAACTAAATCCTCAATTTCACGAAAGCAACATGTTTATCTCAATCCAAGGTGACAGAGGAAAAAGAAATGACTAATAACAGTGCTAAGCTGTCACAGCTCTACAGTAAATTAAATTCAACAAATAATCTTTTAGAACCTACTATGCACAAGGTACTATGAATAGAAAACACATTTCCTACCCTAAAGGAATTTACAGACTACCAAGGAAACTAGAACTGAAACTCAGAAATGGGAAAGGCACTGACATTTACTGAGGGCCCAAGCAGTACCAGGTACTTGATGCTTTCCAACTGAATCCTCACAGGAGATCCTATTTCTCTCCCCATTCTACAAGTGAGTAAACTGTTACTTATAAAGTATAAACTGGGTTTTTACTACAACATTTGTGCTCATTCTACTATACCATTAACTCCAACACAAGGCAATGTAGTAAAGAGAGAGGGGAAAAAGGGATAAAAGTAACATGTAAAACAGAAAAAAAAATATATTAATTAAGGGATCAGACTAGGTAGAAGATATGCAGAGTTCTGAATTGAGTTCCAAATGGCAAGAAGAGTTCTCAGAGCCTTAAATGGGAATAAATTCTACCCATCAGTTTAAACATAGCCAAAGTCTGCTCCTTTTCTCTCTTTTATAGCATAGTAAACATAAGACCTAATTTTAATGACCTTTATACTAACTCTTTCTCATGTTGCGTGATAATTCCTATACCTTGCCCGTTTCTTAGTCCCTTCTCACTATGTTCAAGTCAAAATACCAGATATAATATTCTAAAAAATTTAAGTAACTTTACCTACAATAAATATAAACTATTTTACCAATCATTCTGTTTAATTCTAAGCACTTTATTTTCCCTAAAAATTATTAGCTCTACTTCTTCAATATTTCTTATTCACATTTATTTCTGTGAACTTTATATAGCTCCAAATAGGAACTTTAGGGTAAACATATTTATAAGTCTTCAAAATAAAAAAACATGAAAACTAAGCAGTATGTTCATGGCCAAAGAAGAAAGGGAGAAAATCCAGCAATAACACATTACCACAAAATGTTTTCCTGAAAGATCAGAGTTTGTGTAAAGTGGAGATTTTTAAGTTTGACCTTTCATTATCAAGACTTACACTTTCCATTTATTGATACTAAATAGCTCAAAGCACTCAAACTATGATGATTCATTTATTTAAGTAGATTTTCCCCCATATAACAACAAATAATTGTCAAGGAGAAGTCATACAATATCTGTCATATACTTTAGGTTAGATACCTAGTAAGCACACTCCATCTCTCTCTGTCCATAGATATTTAAAGATGCTAAAGAGAAAAAGCAATAATTTTGCCTTGTAAATAAAGCTGATGTAAAAAGATTTTTAAAAAGACAATGATTAAAGTGAGGTTTACATTTTACTTAAAAAAAATAGATGTTGACCTTATTTGGGGCTTTTTCATTCCAAAAGGTCACTGTGCTTGATCACTGAAATAAGACCTCTTGAGATTTTCTCATTAGCTCAATGTGTTGCAATTTCATTATGTTGACTATGACTCAAAATAAATGATCTCTCAATTGAAGATAAGTTGGGAAAGGAAGTACAATTAATTGAAGAGATTTTAACATTCCTAGATTTTACTTGTTCAAACTTTTGAGTGGAAATTTAAAATAAGCAAAGAAGTCCCAAATAATTTGTTGAACATTAAATTTATCCTGTTAATATTTTTACCTTATTATAAACAAAATTCAAACATAAAAAGAAAAAACCCAATGAATAAATCTGACCCACAAACATGCCTAGTAATGTTTTACAATTGCCAAAAGTGAATATCAAGATGGTCTCTGAACTGAGAAACAAATGTAATTTCTGTCCTATTTTACAACCTTATCAAATATCACAAGGCAGACAAGACAAAAATGAGAAGATGCAAACATTATCTCTAAGCACCAAATCTGCCATTAAAGTAAGCACTCTAAACACTCCCACAGTGTTTTCTCATCAAATTCTTTTCTGTTCAGATTTTGGTTCAAGATGGCAATGTAGGAAGATCCTGAATTCACATCTTCCCACAGACACACTGAAGCTACAGCTATATATGGAACAATTTCCTCCAGAAAGAAAAAAAAAAAAAACACCTAAAAACTGGGAGAGCAACTGCTTCACATCAAGAAAATGAGAGGTAAACCACATCAAAGCAGGTAGAAAAAGCTAAGGCACAAACTCACCATAAACCCCATTCCCACCATGTCAACCAACATTTGGGAGGAAACTCAAAACCCACAGTTATTCCCTGAGTATTATAAGGTTTGTAGACCACATCAGGCATGCCAACATTTAAGACCAACACCTGAAAAAAAACTTAAAACAAGTGGCTTTGAAGATCAGTAAGGCTTATGCCCACAAGATTCACAGGGCTCTGGCAAACTGAGAAATGGCTCCTTAAAGAGCTGCATGTTGACTCATCCACCAGGAGCCCAGCACAGAAGCTGCCCTTTGCATCCCAACTTTATGTGAAAAAGCCTCATTTGCTAATTTTATTTTATTTTTTAAACTTAATTCCAATATAGTTAACATACAGTATTATATTAATTTCAGGAAGACAACATAGTGATTCAACAATTACTATTCTATAGTAATAGTATATTTGTATATAAATATATTATATTATATATATTATATAATATTTGTATATTGTATATAATCTATACAATAATATATTGTATAGTATCTATACATTACTCACTGCTCATCCGTGCTCATAAGTGTACTCTTAATCTGCCTCACCTATTTCACCCATTATCCCTTCTCCTCTGGTAACCATAAGCTTTTTCTCTATTGGTAAGAGTCTGTTTTGGGTTTGTCTTTTTTCCTTTGTTTGCTTTGGTTATTTTTTTTAAGTTTTTATTTGAATTCCAGTTAGGTAACATACAGTGTAATGTTAGTTTCAAGTGTACAATATAGTGATCCAACAATTCCATACAATTCCATACAACACCCAGTGCTCATCACAAGTGCACTCCTTAATCCCCATCATCTATTTAACCCATCACCTAACTCACCTCCCTTCTGGTAACCATCAGTTTGTTCTCTATAATTGTCTATGTCTTGGTTTGCCTCTCTTTTTTTCTTTCCCTCTACTCATTTGTTTTGCTTCTTAAATTACACATAAGAGTGAAATCATGAGATATTTGTCTGTCTCTCATTTGTTTCATTTTGTATAATACTGTATAGCTCCATTCATGTCATTGAAAATGACAAAATTTCATTCTTTTTGATGTCTGAGTAATATTCCACTATATATATGCACCTCTTGTTTACCATTCATCAGTCAGTGGGCATGTGGGTTATTTCCATAATTTGGCTATTGTAGATAATGCTGCTATAAACTTTGGGATGCACGTATCCCTTTGAATTAGTGTTTTTGTATTCTTTGGGTAAATATCTACCAGTGCAAATGCTAGATTATAGTACTATCTTTTTTTAACTTTTTGAGGAACATCATACTTTTTCTAGAGTGGCTGTACCAGTTTGCATTCGAACCAATAGTGCAGGAGCAGGAGGGTTTCCCTTTCCCCACAGTCTCATCAACACTGTTGATTCTTGTGTTCTTGAGTTTAGCCATTCTGACAGGTAGGAGAGGATATCTCACTATAGTTTTGATTAGTATTTCCCTGATCATGAGTGATTTTGAGCATCTTTTCATGTGTCTGTTGGTCATCTATCTTCTTTGGAAAAATGTCTACTCATGACTTCTGTCCATTTTTTAATTGGATCATTTATTTTTTGGGTGTTGAGTTTTAGAAGTTCTTTATATA